AAGGATGCAGAGAAGACTTAGCAAATTACCTTTTTTGTAAGCAATATACTATTTTAAAAAAAGAAAAACACTGATTCCAGGACCTGCTTCCCTTCACGGAACATGTTTAAATAGAAGTTAGACTATAAGTACTGATGATGTTACCTAGTTTGGTAATGAAATATCTGCAAGAAAACTAGCACCAGGGACTCCACAGTTCAACCCCAAGCAACAAATACATATTCTCTTCTAGGGATCTTCAAACCTGGCAATTTTAAGACTTGTGGATTTCAACTCTCAGAATTCCTCAGCCAGTGTGGCTGGCTGAGGAATTCTGAGAGTTGAAGTCCACATAACTTAAAGTTGTCAAGTTTGGACATCCCTATTGTAGAGGCTAGACTGTTATCTACTGAATGATGGTCAATCATAGGCATCAGACACAAATACCTGGAAACAGTTTTGCACATGGCTGTATATCTGTAGGGAGGAATCAAGAAATATTTGCTATAGTCTAAATAGTTTGTGATGGGATTACATAGAATCACAGTTCCTTCAGACCCAGCTATTCATCCTATCTTATTTAATTCATCAGTTGTTAACTTCTCTCAATTCCAGAATTGCTTCTGAAAGCCAAAGTAATTGTTTAAATCCAGGCCTTTGATTCCTTCTGGGGAACACAAGAAATGTATCATGGCATCATCAGGACACCATGATTGACGTAACATCATGTTGATATCTTCATGGCATCTACCTGATGTCTACTGGTTCTCAATCTTCCATGTATCAAATCCTACCAATTACTTAACTTCAAAAAAAAAATCTGGTTCAGTCACACAATAGAAATAAACTCTATGATCATTTTTCAAAGTTTTCTGGTTTGTCTAGGGAAGAGATTGTGGTAAATCTTTTTATTAAGAAACAAGTTAAACCTAGTGACAACATTTGAAAGCTAATGGAGACGCTCATCCTTTGTAAGTATCTTATTCCTTTCTCTGCTTAGTTTAAACTTCTAGAAAGGCATCAAACTCTTACATGCTAATGGGTGTTTTGTTGTTATGTTTATGATTTAAGGTAAGCTTGAAAACATAATTGTTATTTCAATTATCTATCTGGTATAGCACCAAGACTTCTGAATCTCACCTGTGGTACACTTACTATCAACTGAAAACCACAAATCTACACTGTAATTGAAAATGTAGTACTTTGAGATTATAACATATTAGGAGCAGTAAAAGTCATTGACTTTTATGTATTGATTATCAGTTTGTTGAACTTCAACATTTTGCTCCTTCATTTAATTCAATACAAAAACCTAAAATGCTACAAGAAATGTTATTTTTTTTAAAAAAAATCCAGAATGTAGTATAAGAAACATGTTTAACAGATGAAAACTTAATCTGATGGGTGAGGAAATACAGCAGGTACAAATTATGAATTCAGTGTAAGCAATGTTCCCTTTCAACCAGGGAAGCAGATATGGAAGTTAAGATGTTTTCTGAACAGAAAAGCTGGCCCAGGTACAGTGGTGGGATTCAGCCAGTTTGCACCAGTTCGGCAGAACCGGTAGCTAATTTTTTGTTGGCCAGGCCCAGAACGGACTTCCAGAAGCGACATCCATGCAGAGAACTGATTGTTGACATATTTGAATCCCATCACTGCCCAGGTACAATATTTCAGAAAAAAAGTATATAACATAAAGGTAGTCCTTGACTTACAACAGTTCAGTTAGTGACTGTCTGAAGTTGCAACGGCACTGAAAAAAGTGACTTATGACCGTTTTGACATTATACTGTTGCAGCATCCCCAGAGTCACATGATCAAAATACAGATGCCTCACTCCTATTTATGACGGTTGCAATGTTCCAGGTCACTTGATCACCTTTTATGATCTAATGACAAACAAAGTCAATGGGGAAACCAGATTCACTTAACAACAGTGTTATTAACAACTTATAAACTGGGGCAAGAAAGGTCATAAAATAGGGCAAAACTCACTTAACAACTGTTTCACTTAGCAACAGAAATTTTGTCATTTCTTTGCACAAATGAACTTTGTTATCTGTCTCTCCCTTTCCCTCCCTCTCCCTCTCTTCTTTGCACAAATGAACTTTATCTCTCTCTCCCTCTCCCTCCCTCTCATTCTCTTCTTTGCACAAATGAACTTTGTTCTCTCTCTCTCTCTCTCTCCTTACTTCTTTGCAGAAATGAACTCTATTAATATTTTGTCTTTAACAGAGGGTGACATGCAGACTCTTGTGTGTGGGCCTGCACAGAGCTTAGAGAGAACATTGAGTCTGAGGTTGCAATGAGATAGTAGGAAATCTGTGAAGAATTTGCCTGCAGGTTTTTAGAAGAAAAAAGCCGGCTGTGGCAACTCCTCTCTCACCAGTTTGAATCATGGTGATCATACTTTCTGTTTTCTTGCCCTGTTTCTAATTATAACTGTCCTTTCCTGAAGTTGCAAGGCAAATGTACAGTTAAACTGAGGAAGAATTTGATTTCATGAACACATACCCAGGTGACCTGTCTATCAACTGATCACGGATACAAGCCATTTTCAGAAATGGCTGTAATTTATTTACTGTAAGAATTCAAATAACATAATTGCTATTATTTTTAAAGACTTTTATAAGCTGTCCTCCCATCTTCCTCAGGATCAGATTTGGGATGGCTCTTTGGGCCATCCTAAAAATAATGACCACATCTGAAAGATGATGCAGAACTTCATCCTTTGCGGTTATCTTTCTTTCAGCTGAAACTCATGGGGAGACATCAATTTATTTTGTACATATCACTCCCTTGACTGAGTTAAGGAAAACTCTTATTAATCAACAATGGTGTTTTTTTTAATCAGCAAAAGGATGCATGTTGCAATCTAGATTTGATCTCATAATACAGTTTATTAGTCTGAATTTCCAAAGATGCTTAGACCTTTTGATTCTAGAGCTGCTGATATATCAATTTCGTTTCTCAGCCTCTGAATTTCCATACTTATATCCAGCAGAGTTCTGGCAAGTTTCTGGTTCTGGAACTTCATTTCAAGCTACAAAGAAACAAAAGACAATAATTGCTTTCCACAGTTGATCACCATCCAGAACAGCTCAATTAGAAGCAGAAGTCAGCCTTGCTGCTGTTTCCAGTCAAAATTTAGTCCTGAAATGTTTGTAAGCAAACATATATCAAAGAATATTCAGGCAAGCACAGGATGTATTTTTCACACAGCACAATAAACCAGAATAAGTTGTTTCAACCTCCACATGTAAACTATGGATCAGATCCAAAATATGGATCAGATAAACTACTGCTAAATAGCAATTTATATATTAGCAAAAATCTCATATCTGTAATTTTTAATTGGGCGAATTGGTGCATCAAAGGGCAATTTCTTTTTCAACCAAGTACCTCAAATAGGCTCACTTAATAGAATGCATCTAAAAACTTGGACTCACATAACGTTGGACTTCTGGTGTTTGACTGTGCTATCCTGTTCAACATGTGCTACTTTCAAGGCAGATACATCTCTGAATATCTCCCTGAATTTTTAAGAACTTTACAATGATATTAGAAGCTCTGCCACTGCTTGGCATTGAGGAATCTGGTAAGGAAATATCTCTGAAATGATGTCCCAATTGATCATGGGTTGTAATATTATAATACATATGAGTCTCAAAGGGTCTTGATCCACAGTTTGAGCTTCCTTAACTTCAAAGGTACTCAAACTGTGGCTCAGCACTCCTTGAGTTTGAGCACCCTTGACTTCAAAGCTAGAGGCACGCTGACACTTAAGTAACATTTAATGACACTGGACAATATTCCGTACTCTGGCAGTTCCAGTCCTAGCAATGCATGGCAGAGTGATCTCCTGTCACTTGCCTCAGCTTCTACTCACCTAGCAGTTCAAAAGCATGTTACATGCAAGTAGATAAAGAGGTATCACTTCAGTGGGGAAAAAATGGTGCTTTGAAAGGCAGTATGAATTCAACCGATGCTGGACCTGCTTAAATGCAATGCCTGAATGTGATGTGACATTTGGGGTAAGAAAAGCAGAATGCCATCAAATCTTGTGTGGAGCTAGTCCATTCCCTGCGGTGCAGCTAGACAGCATGTGAGCGTGAACAGAATGGATTGGCAATCATCCGCAGTCAAATAACTACTTTGTGTTCATACTGTAGTCTCATGGCTGATGTAACATTGCCATATGCTAAGTAAATAATAATACTTATGTGTCTCAAGTGGTTTTGAGCCAAATTTTGAACCTCTTTGACTTCAAAGGTGGCTGAGAACCATTGATGGCCAACTAGCAAAATGATGAAACAACTGTGATCATTATGAAATTGTCTTTGTTTCATTCATGGAATTCTAGTATACTAGCTGGAATATTCTGGAACCAAACCGGTCTCTGAGAACGAGGAATGAAACACAAGAAAAGTAATGCATAATCTGCTTTTATACAGGCACTAAAAAAAGACATTTGAAAGTGCTTTGATTCAAGCCTGAGTAAAAGACTAAACTTGTTTGGAAACTGGGTGATATTTCAAGGAGAAGTAAAAACATGGTCTGTCAAGGAGCTAGGTAAGATTAAAAAAAAAAACCTTGGCTATGTCTAGATGTGTTTTAAAATGATGTCAATTAGTTGGTAATGGCTTCTCTAGCATTGTCTTTGTATCTTAGAAAATGGCATCAGAAGAATGTACAGATATTCCCCAAACCAAAGATCATTTTGAGGAGTTACAATTATATTTTGTCCTGATAACACACCAGGAAGAAATACCATTATTATCAATTTTGTTTCACACACCTGAATATGAACATAAAAATCTAGTCTCAAAGTGATTTCAGCTGAATACACCAACTTAGAACCCAGATAGTAAACTACGCTGCTACAAAGCAAATCCTGGGTGAAACTTAAGTGTCTTCCCCTCACAGCTCACACACTTTTTAACACAGCAGCTTCTTCTGTGCATCACATAAGTATATTTCTTTCATGATTTGATTGCACCTTTCTCTGAACTATTCCTGTTTCAGTGGATCAGACTGTTGTAAGAGCTCCTGTTTCTAACCACCCAAGATTCTTTGTGTTCCTCTTTCCTCATTATTATTTTCTTTGTTGTGTTAGGTTTTTTTGGGGGGGGGGAGTGAACTGATAAGCAGGGATGCTGATAATCATATAAAGGCTTCATATCATCATCATCTTCACCTTGGATAAGGCAGCAAGGAGAAGAGCAAGTAACTTCATCCTTTGGCCAAAAATGGCTATTGCTTCATTGCTGGTGTTAATTTTCTTTCCCCATCCTTTAGTTCTACAGAAGGGATTATATGATTTGTACAATGCTTAGAAAAGTTTCAGAAGTTTGTAACAACAAAACAAATATAATGGACAACTCTGGGGCTACAGGTCACCCCTTTATATTCCCAAGGGATAGTGCCTAACCATCTCTCTTGCCCACATCACTCACCAATTCTATGCGAAGCCAGGCTATGCCCTTTTCTATGTAGCTCGAGTGCAGGTCCTGTGTGGGCACAGCTCTTCCATGGCCTGTATCTTCAACAGGTCTAGACAACACAGGAGTAATTGCTACCCCTGTTGTCTGCCCTTGGAAAGCTTGGAGCAGCCTCTGCTTTATGTCCTCCAGCAAAAAGCTGGAGAAAGTATCTTCATTCTCTTCTGGCTTCATTGAGCAAGGGTGGAATGGAAAGAAGTGGCGAGACGCAGCCAAGCTTCAAGAAGAGATCTCTGCCAGCCTGTCTCCCACACTCTCCCTTGTGCTTATTGTTTCCTAGCCTTGAGCCGCTCTGGCTCCTGTGTGCAGAGAGCCCATCCTCCCCTCCCCTCCCTCCCCTCCCTGTATATCATTCCAAAGAAAGTGGGAGAGAAGTGGGAGGTAGACAGGGGTAAAGAGCAAAATTTTCCCCTCTGAGAATCAATCTCTCTTCTTTCTCTCTCCCTCCCCACCTCTTTCATTCATGCTGTATTGGAAGGAAAGGCACAATCTAGGTCTTTTCATTCCTGCAGTGCAATGATACAATTTATTCTTCTTGGATGGATTAGTCTCATTTCCATCTTGCAGTTCAGCCAGCTCATCTGCATACTTTACCATAACTGTAGTCATAACACAGCAAGATAATTCTCAGACCAAACCTGCTCAAACCCAAGGAAAGTCCATATACAGTACCAATAAATACAAAATTGGTTGCCTGAAACTAATTTTCAACAGCTTGGTCTTTGAACACCCAGAGAAAAAGGAAAATCCTGAGACATAAAAACTCAAGTTTCCTTATAGTGAAGCATTTCCATTGAAATTCATTTGTAAACCGTGTGCTCTTTATTTCCAAATCAACTGCATTCAGTATTAAAACTCTTGACACTTTCGCTAGCGATTTTGTCTTCGGCAAGTTAGAAATCACATTAACTCAGAAGCATGTGATGTGAGTACTTTATGCCAGAAAGTCAATGGTGACTTGAAGTCTGGACCAAATTTGTCATCACTTCCCTTAATACAGATTCATGCACATATATATCTGTATCAGGTCAATTTGATTGGGTGACTAAACACACTGGTTGTTAAAGAAAGTGAATTTGAGAAAAATGTACATTTTTGAGCTGGCTTCTATTTGCAAAAACAGGTAAACAAGATAACATGCATGGCCTGTCTCCTCTCCGTGTTTTAAGATAGACCAAATTGTATTTTTCTCCCCATGCCTTGAGATTTACAACTTCCAAGGCCACAGATGAAAACTGCAGGAACTTGTCATACTTTGCCCATTTTCAAGGGCACCCACAATAATCTGGAAATAAAAATGTTGATGAGCACACAAGTGCAATTATTATGCAAACAACCAAGGCTGGATAAAAGGTCAAACCTTTTAAAACAAGAATGCAGAACTTTTTGTTGTGGAAATGAACTGAAGATAATGTACCAGACTATAAACTGGAAGAAAAGAAGGGAATAAATTGTAGGAGCTCATCAGGAAATCTTTATTAAGGTGGGATGGATTCTTTTTTCTTCTTGCAGCTGCTGGTGGGTTTATCTTGCTTTTGCTGTGTGTGAGAGGGAAAAGGAACTCAGAAACATGTGCAAACAGTTTCTACTGAATGGCTTTTAAAAAAAAAAGTCTAGACAAAGCAAACATTGGATTACACCTGCCTCTCCACCCAGAATCTTCCAGCTCAGTGGTTCTCAACCTTTTTAATGCCGCGACCCCAACCGGTCGTAAGTCGAGGACTAAACCGGTCGTAAGTCGAGGACTAAACCGGTCGTACGTCGAGGACTACCCAACCGGTCGTAAGTCGAGGATTTTCCCTGCCCGGGAGTGCCGCGCATGCGTGGTTCCGCCCCCTGTGCTGGCCGAGGCGTAGCTGGCAAGCGGCAGAGACGGAGCAGGCCGACCACCAGCTGGCCCAGCCCAAGGGAGGTAAGGCACCCGCCGGAAAAGGGGAAAAAAATGGCGGACAAAAAAATGGCGGACAGCCTTTCTTGGCGACCCCCGTGAAATGGTTGATCGACCCCAAATGGGGTCCCGACCCACAGGTTGAGAACCACTGTTCCAGCTCTATTGGTTTATAATGTCCATCATTTGCCATATTGTAATCCAACAACATCTTAAGGGCACCAGATTGAAAAAGGCTGGATATGACTTTATTTTGAAGTAGTGAGGTGGCCCTGTATGTGAAGCTTTTCATATATTCAGTTTTTCTAGGCATCTGAAAAGAAGTCTGGGCTTCATTTTTGTAACTCATACGGCATTTCAGAAGATATCAGTATAAAGGGTTGCCCGTGATCATTTACAGAAGATTCGTTTAGCTCCAGCCAGTCACTTACATATTGCAAGAAAACCAAGAAGCAACAGAGTATAAGCCTTTTGGTTGTGCTAATTTAAGAGATAAATTTAAAAATAGTTGTTATAATTTCAAAAGATGGCAGTGTTAAGTAAGAAATTAGAGAAGAACAGTTAACTAAGTTATAATTTTGCTTTGGTTGTACCTGCTCACAGATACAAACATGCCCTGGCAAATATTTCTTTATGCCATGATAATGACATCACTTCATATCCAGCCTATAGTTGAGAGGTGTTTAAGTCATCTTCAGTTGTACCAGTATCATAAGAATATGTCAGCCTTATTCTGACACCATCCAGGCATAAGTACGAACAGGTTGTCTAGAACCCAGAGCTTGATTGCATTCATTGGTGCCATTGTAACTTGGAAAAGTGCTGGCCAAGTGGGGATTCTATGGAAATGTGGAGCCTGTTAAATGGTTGCACTGTGTACACATTTAGATGGCACCCTTCTGTACTTTTTGTTATTGCAGTTTTTTTATTTTTAATTGGTTTTAATGCTTCAATTTTGTGATTATTAGTTTCTGTTCTAATTATGTATGCCACCCAGTCACATGCAAGCGAGATGAGGGAATCTTATAAATGTTACGTGTGTGCGCATATCTATAAGTTGTAAGCCCTGGGAATCTCAGAAGCAGGATGGAGTATGACCAAGGCTTTAGGGGTGCTGCAGAGCAAGCATGCTAAAGGAGTACCAGATCCCTGGGAGAAAAAGCAGCAGGGATGATTTGCAATCTTCCCCTCTGGCTTCTGCATTAACTTAGCGTATAGAAAACCATCAGAGAAGGTTGCAAATGACGATCATATGACCCTGGGATGCTGCAACTGTCATAAGTGTGAGCCGGTTGCCAAGTGCCCAGATCATGATCACATGTGATTGCTGTTACAGCAAGAACTTTTGAGGACTGATAAGTATCATTGTCAATAATCCGACTGGTGAACCCAACGAAGGGATTCCAGAAGGCAATTAAGTCCCAAAGGTAAAACTTTATTTGATACACCATCTCGGAACTAAAGAAACCAGTTCTGGTTTTCCCACGTGAAAGCTTGCTTAAACAATAGATTCCCTTGCCCTCACCCACCGGGTGTTCACATTGTCCAATAGTAATACTTCTTTTTGTTATGGGAACAGTCCACTTCTCCATCGAGCACCTGCATTAGTGACCTTGGCTTTCTTGCAGGCTCTCACAGTCTGTGAATGGCTTCTTGGAATTCCGTTTAATTTGCTTGCTACCCCTCCCCCTTTTTCTATGGCAAGTTGATTAGCGATTCAATCTTGACAATCATTTGTTCGGTGCAATTTCAAATGAGTGGCCATTAACCAAGGACTACCTCTGTATGTGTGAACATACACAAAAGTATATCCACATCCCTGACTAGAACACCTCTAACAAAACCACAAGGATTTTTATCCATTACTTCAGAAACACACCGAATCAGCAATGGCAAATCATTAAATATTCCCCTTAATCTCTCCTATGCTCTACTTTGTACATATATTACATTTAGCAGTCAAACTTATACTCAAGTAAACATTCTATAATTAAAGCTGAAAAATTATTCAAATCCATGTTGCTTGGTCATTTCACCAAGCATCCCTTATTCATTTTATTAGAGTAACCCCAACATTACCATAGCATTCTGCCAGACAATGAATTTTATTCCAAGCACTCTTCCATATTCTCATTTCTTATGCCCATATTTTATACATCGAATTTAGAGGCAAGCTATTTTAGAATCTATTCCTTGTGTTCCAAATGTTACCATGGAATTTGTGATTCTGATCATACTATTTTGGTTTTTCTTTGTAATGTTTAAATTTTCATAAGGTCAGATTTATTTGTTTTGGATCCTGTGTCCTTAGACAATGGCTAGTAAAACAAAAATATTAAAATTAATTGTAATCTATTTAGATGTATTCTCATTAGGATGTTGAGTGCTCGTGGATATTAGTTCATTATAGATTTGCAATAAATCAGAAGATTCAACTGTTGGCATCAAAATGCTTATAAAATTGTTAATGAGTTTGGTACTGAAATTAATTGGGAGCTACTAATGAAGAGAGATTAACAAGCAAAATCTGAGTTTTATTTTCTACAATAGATATCAACAATGTTACACTATGCATATATTTTCGTCTCATTAGAGAAGTAAAGGCCTATGAAACCCAGGAGAAATATCTCCAAAGTTAAACAATGTGGGCTGCAGTTGAAAAATGTCTTTAAAATTCTCAATAGCTCCTTTTGATTGTAGTGACATTATATTAAAGAAATTTCTCAACTGCAGACCACAATGTTTAACTGTTACAGCATAATTATATAACTGGTTATTTTAAATTTTTCATCTTATATTTCCTGGATTATACACAATATAATTATGTATTAATGCTATGATTATCATTTTATAAATTCCATTTTGCTAGGAAATTTTACTATAGTAAATAAAGTTCAATGATAATAAATGAGTAAACTAGGAATGTTTCATCTTGCAGGTTCAAATATATTTAAAGAGTCCTATTTGGTTGTAATGGATACAGTTCTATTGTGCTGGATGCATCTAAATAACTGTCATAAGATCCATTGTGCTTTAAATAGTTTTGTAAGCAACTAGAGAAGAAGTAATCCTACATCATACACAGTGCCTTAGCAAACTAGTGGCTCAATTTGTGCAACACATTACACCCAATATCAATCAGCCTGAATTAAAACACTGTTAGCTGAGCCAGTCCAAACACTGGCAACTTACTGGACTCCAAATGGTCATTTTTAAAACCAAAGTCCATATACTTTTCTGATTACCTATGTTGTTTGTCCATCGATTTCGATGAAGACCTTGACAT